GAGGCGGGCGAGTGGAAGGGGCTGGGGTATAAGAGAGAGCAGGTTGTATTGTTATACAACAATTTAATTCTGTAACACTCCCATATTCTACAATTCTGTTTCTCCTTCATACCTTACCATCTAGGAACCTTTATCCCAAGATAAACATGTCACCTTTCACCCCATTCTATTAACTAAAACAAAAGACAGGGATGAAAGTAATCTATTTAACCTCCTGGCAATCACCTTGGACTCTCTCATATAACTCTCATTTTCTTCACTTTTTTATACATTTGGCCACAAGCTTCTTAATTTTTTCTGTACTTACTGAAGTGGGGTTTTGGTTTTGTTTTGGTTTTATAAGCCTTCATTTGATTACTTAAAAAGTTTTCTATTTTGTTTTTAATACTTTCCCTTCTATTTTTCCACTTTTCCCCTTGAAAACAGACACAACTAAAAGGTCTTCAAGCTGCTTCCAGACTAAGCTCTTTACTAAAATTTATTCTGAAGGTACACATTTCAAACATTTTAATTATTTATTTGTTTTCAGCCCTAGATAGTATATGATGTGACCGGTTCATTTTTCTGCTAGAGATATCATAGCTGTAGCAGACATGCTGGGCATCTGTAAAAGGTCTAAATATAGCCTCATTGTTTTTCTGGTTTTAAAGCTTTTTCTTTTTCTTTCTTTTTTTTTTTTAACAACTTAAATGTTGAACCCAGTGCACATTCTTATGCATGTTTGTTTATATAAAGGCAAAAGATACTAAGTAGGTTATCTTCCATATTACACAACAAAATTAATTATATTAAGTGCAGTGCTTGAAGTGACGTTAAGGTCACATTTCTCAGATTAAGGCTGAATAAAGGTAAGAGTTCTGAAAAGTTGTCTCTTAAAACTCCGCCACCAAATATCTTCATTTTCTTAGATCTGATCATAGGGAAAGGAAGGATTCATCACTGAAAAAGTAGTTCTCTCAGTTCTATGGACCCCCTTTGTAACTGTAATATGTTGAAGAGTATCTGTTGCAAATATGTATGTTTTCCTTGAACACACTGGATCATGGAACTTCTTACCTCTCCCGGGGCCTGTGATCGGCCTGTTTTCAGTTTCTCCTGTCCAGTAACAGTGGGCAAACTGGTATCAGAGATTCTCACAGTTGTCGGCGTCAAAGCAGTTGTAGTAACTGCAGTTGCAGAAGTCATTGTGCCTTGGCCAACCTGTTCCAGTGATTTTCCTGCCTCTTTACATCCAGATCCAACTAGTAATGCTTGTCCAGAGGAAAATGGAGCAAAGGGCGATGGTGCGTCACTACCAACTGGCTCATCTTGGACTACTAGTGTTCGGCCATTCTCTTTGGTGTAAGTGGCAAAGCGAATATTGCGATTAATCTGAGGAATGAATGAAGGCAACTGTTTGGCCCTTGGATCAAGTCCTGTTTCACTACTGGAGCCTCCTTTCCAAGGACCTCTACTTGCCTCACTTCCATCATTATCATTGCTATCCACCTCACCCCTCTCCTTTAGCTTCTTTGTTGCAGGATCACACCCAGAATCTGAAGCACTTTTCCTCCTCCGTCCATCCTTTCCCTCCAGACTTTCTTTCTTCTTTTTCCCTTTAGATGTTTTAGCTGCTTTTAGGCCTCCTCCCTATTAACAGACAAAACCATGCAATCACTAAACAGAACAATCAGGAATATCTGTTCAAAGAACATTTTTCTGTTAGAATGAAGAATGAATTACCCTGCGCTTAAGCTTAGGAACATTTATTTTAATGAATAATTGAGAAATCTAAGGAAAGATACTACATGAACACAGAACAAAAGCATAAGTGCAGTTTTGGGTTTTTTTTGTACTAGTATAGGATCTTCACAATAAGATTTTTTATCTGGGCTACTTTGCTGTAGCACATACTACATCGTGGCAGATTTTGGGAAACATGCAACACACCCATACTCCAACATAGTTCTTGCTAACGTATGAAAACTATTTGCACACTAATTTTTGCTAGAAGTCTAATCCCAACAGCTCTTTTGAAGGGCACATTTCCTGTCCACTACTCAAAGCCTACAATATTTAACTACAAGAGATAGCTTGCCCTTTAGCCTAAGGTAAAAACACAGGTTCAAATCTTATCATGGAACTATTCAACTGAAGCAATGAAATGCCAAAAGCATACAAGCCTGCTTCGGAGAATCCAGAGGGTAATTTTTAGAAATACCTAAAAAAGGTCTGTGAAGCACAGAGTGATCCCATTAGAAAAAGGCAGTGAACACAGAGACACTCTTTATTGGCACATTACCCTTTAAAATGAAGCAAAACAACTATGTTTACTGAACCCCCTCCAAGATCCATGCTGAACTTAATAAAACAAGCCTGAACAAAAAGAAAATAGATTGTTTAAAGAAAGCTATGACCATCTCTCAGAGAGGTAAAGAAAATTTTCCTCTTCCAATTATGTTATCAAAAGCCCACAGTGAACATAGCATCAGTTTTCAGTTGTTTCCATGTTTTAGATGTTTTATACCTAGATCTTTATGAAGTTTCACACTGTATATGCAAGACCTGAACTGCTGCAGTACCTCACTTGGAGAAGTATTATCCATCACCACATGAATCAGTCGAGGATCCACCGACTTTATTTCACCACTCTAATTTTTATGCAGATTTATGAGAAGGTAGGAGGAAGAAAAGAGAAGGTTAGTTTTTAATTCAGGGTATCAAAGTACCATCATAAGAGACCTTAAACATAGGGTTATTCTGCAGCCCCTCTCCCATTTGCCTTTTCTTTCTGTCCCACTTCCTTAGTAATAGTACAGCCTTCCAGTTTACCTTCTATCCTTTTGCTCATTCTCTATTTAAAAAAAATTCAGATTTGATTCTGACCACTGTTTTGTTATGTATGTGCTCTACTAAGCATCTCTAGAGGTATTTGTTGCATTAAACCCAGCTCCTCTTAAATTTTATTTAGTATTATATTATATGTTCTACCCTTCTGCACATTTGACTCTGCTAGATGTAGAAAAGACTACTGGAAGGAAGCACATCAATTTATGCTAACTATCATCAGCAGCATCTCCTCAAAAGGACCCATGAATACCCAGTCTCTGTAACTGTGATCGGAGGCTACCTTTTTATTTCACAGTAGATATGCAGTAAGTTAGGCAACTCCTGGCATGTATCTGCTGAAAGCATATACTCCACAATTTTAATGCCTCTCCACAGTACTATACTAATTTGCCATACATACTATACTTTTTCCCTGTGCACCAGCAATAGGCCTAGTAGTCAGAGCACACGATTACAGGGCTTACTGGGCATGTTCAGTGCAGTCATTCTACACATGTTATTTTACTTCATATAGAAAAGGTTATGGGGAGTGGGGGGCATGGGACCCAGGACGGGACCCAGAAAAACAAGAGTGCTGCTGCTACAGTAATTTATACACAGCACCACAGACCTGTTCCTAATTGCTCATGAAAAAGGAAGCCATTAGGAGCAGGCTACTGGTGAGACCGAAATACCTGTCAGACCACACAGAAGCATATAATAAAAACCAGGTAACTCCAGCAGCGCACAGATCTGCTGTGGTGTTTACAACACTTACTAGGTTTGCTGATAGGAATAGGGAAAAAGTAAACTAAGCTAAAATACAGTCAATTCTGTTTAGACTAAGACCTCATCTTCTATGCTACGCTTGTTTCAAACCACTTGTACAGCCTGTCAGATAAAAGCTGAGAAAAGGCACAGGAAGATCACAGCGTAACAGACCCAGAACATAGCTTTCTGTACATGAGCACATTTTCTGTGTGTTTTTTCCCCATCCAGAAAACCACTTCCAATATTTTTTCATATAGTGCTCATTTCCAAAGAAATTCGTATAGCTTCTTTTATAGAAGTGGGCTGTGTATCATTTGTTGTGGAAAGTCATCTTAACAAAAACACCCGAAAAACCCCCAAACAAACAACCCCCAAAAAAATCTGCAAATCACAACATGATAAAAGATAATTGCTCATCTTTTAAAGCAAAAATCCAAAGAATCAAAAGTACAAGTTTTGGTGAAGCTGTCATTCTTCACAAGATATTGAGGAATGGTATTTTAGGAACACCAAAGCACTGCTTGATTTTGTTACCTCAGTCACAGACACCTCCATAAGACGAGTTACTGAGTCTTGATGGCTCACAACACCACAAAGCCAGCTATTTTCATCCTCTGGTTGGTAAACCTTAACTCTTTGGCCTTGGACACTGTAAGGACCTGGCAAAGAAGGACTTTGAGTACATTTTGCAGACAAGCTTTGTGTCATACTATTTAAGGGTCATACAATAAAAAAAAGACTTCTGTGCACATAATTAGGGCTTGAAGTGTCACCTTTCAGGTGGAAAGAAATTAAAACGCTAGGGCTTCTGCTGCAAATCCTGCATAAGCCATGGATTCTATTGTAAAAAGTTAATAAACCCTCATTGCTGTAACTCAAAACTATTGTAAAAACAAAATTAATACAGTTTACAAGTAAAAAAAGAAAAAGCAAAATATCAAAATAAACTCACTCCTTTGATAAAATCAAGCTAGATGGGGGCTCCTTGTTAACTAAACTCTTTTGCTTTCTAACCTACAAGTCAGTGGCATCAATCCAGTAGACAGTCATAGCATTCTGACTCAGTCCAGATGCATCAAATCCCAGTATAAACTGCATGCAGTTCAGAATAGAAACATGTATTTGTAACTGTGTAAAATAATTGCACAAATATCCAATGTCTCTAAACCAACCAGTCTTAGTTCTTTGACACGGGTAATGGATCATCTACAGAAAGGTTTCCTCCGACCCTGCCCTCACTCTCCACATCAGCATGCAGAGCTTTCCTCCTACCCTAAGTCCAGACAAAAAAAAACCTTAGTTAATATTAGACCATCAAAATCCACATGATCCAACAGCCTGTACCTGATACAACCAGAACTAGGCACTTCAGAAGGCAGCTCCAAACTGGACAATTCTGAAGCTACTTGCTCATGTAAGAAGTATTGTCCTGACAGCATTTTTTCAATAAATATTTTGTTTAACCAAAAGGCACCAAATCCCCATTAAGAATTACATCGTCCTTCAAAAGTAATAGAGTGGTCTAGATCTAGAGTGGTCACCTGACCCATGAACCCAAACTCTGGATAGAAAATAATTTTAGCACTTGAACTAGAAGAACCCCATCTGACAACAAAAGCTGCAATCAGGCTTAACCCTAATACAGAATCCAGACAACAGTTAAGGTACTAACTCTGTGCTGAGCAGCCAGAGTCACACTGTATTTTCAATTTAACCAATCCATGTATTAATTATCAAAATGCCAAAATTTGAATTTGATGTAACAAAAGAGAATTTTTAAAGATCAACAACTACAGAGTAACTTGACTTCTACATTTCCAGAATTATAGAACAGAACCAAAACTTAAAAAATACAAACCTAAAACTTAAAATAGGGAAGTTGTAAATACATGGACATTATCAATATGTTGCCCTATTTCAACTACATCTTCAGTGATCATTCTCAGCAGGTATTTCTAGTTCTATCTCAGCAACTGCTTACCTGTATCTGTGAAAAAATAATGCTTCTTTGTAAAGAACTCGGAAAACAATACAGAAAATTGACCTTCCAGATCAAACAGTAATAGACACTATTGCTATTCTCCTTCACAAATCTCAACATAGTCTAACTGTTCCACGATAAAGTAGCTCTTAATAAATAAAGAGATAGAAGAACACAGTCTCACCTCTACTAAATATCTCCTGAAGCTTCTGGTCACTGATCAATGCATTGACAGATTCTCTTAGGGAAGGCTGTTCCTGTAGAATCTGATTTTGACTCTCTGTTCCCATCTGTCAACAACAAACAGTTTTTAACATAAAAGTATAGTCTTCTAAGGTAATAGAATCAATAGGTTTTAAGAGACAGCTGTTCTCGGTCTGCTCTCAGAGACTGACAAGGGGGGGAAAAGGGGGGAACAAGGGGGGGA